ATGATCATACTGCTGGCGCTTAGCAGACAGTTTTATGAGAGGGTTGCTGACATTACCTGTTCTAGGTCCCGGTCATCCACTTCCTCGGTACAAAGTTCTCGAACAACAGTGATGGGCTTCTTAGCACACACTTTTTTCGCAAACCTTCCAGCAAGAGCAATAGTAGCACAGATCTCGTACTTAACGAAGGATTCTCCTAGTCCAGCAATCGAATCAGGGGGGCAGGACCCAAGATCGAACTCAAAGGGCCAAACATAGTTGCCAACATCAATTGAGTACGACCTGCTGCTCTCTGTTGTATCTTGAGGGGGTAGAAGATATCTCTCCTCAGAAAAGATGATATCCTTGCTGCAGATGCGATCGGCGCTTAGGGTGTCTGTATACCATCTAAAAATATTATTATAGGTACAACATAGTTATGCTATCAGAGTCTGCTTACAGGGTTTGTTGAACTCCAGTGAGATGAACAGTCACATGTGCCACGCGGACACTGCTACTGGTCATGAACACCACTCGTCCACGAATCCAGTTACCCTTGTGTTGCGCACCTCTTGTCACACGGATAAACGGTGTATCGAGCCTGATCTCAGGGTCTCTGAAGGTTGAGCCTTTCGTTTGTAGAAGAGAACTAATAATCAACATGGCTTAAGAAGGAGAGCTACTTGAGTATCGAAGCGGCGGGGCCCCCTCGCGGTGGCCATGCTTGATATATCAGCAACGGAAGCCCCAAATCGTTTGTCATGTAGGTATCCCGATGATTCTTCCCAAGGTCGAAAGCCAGGAAAGCAAAACAAGTGGCACATCGTCCGCAGCTATACCGTTTTAGCATCTCGATGAGAGGAAGACCAATCGGATTAGCGCGCTTGAACCTGTTTGGGATTGGCGACTTCTGCATTGAGAAACTCTGCTCCAATTTCTCTAAAGAGCGAAAAAAGGCGAGGTTTGCAGTGTTTGTAAGTTAGGTGGATACGAGTCGCAAGGCGAATGTCCAAAGCTTAGTTGCTTGGCCAAACGCATTTACCACTGTTACGATTCCTCATAGAGCGATAAAGGGCGAGGTCACGTGATCGAGATCGGCAGTATGATTCGTGTTTTCAACTCCATTCGATGCCATTGGCTTGAGCCATTGCATGATACTTACATGATCAACATAGCCAATCGTGCCTGCCTCATGGGCAAAACTCTTTACTTATCAGACGCTACGAATTGATATTCGGGAGTGAATATTGTATCCCGAAATCGTCGTTGTTGCCTCCGGTCGATATGAACTTGCACCAATCCATTCCTACCACACTCCGGCGATTCCTCCGCAATTATCCATGTTTGTTTCCATGATTCCCAATTCGCATGCATCCCTACACGGATTGACGGCCACACTAAGCCAAGATATGAACTCTCTTGCAGCAGATTGAGCCGGCCGCCGCTCAGAAACACAAGAATCTGCATGCGCCAGCGCTCAATTGACTTGGTTCCATGTCAACGTGTGTGACATGAAGACTGCAGGCTCGAGGAAGAGCCCAACAACGGCCTCGCCTTGCCTGCACACTTTGGCTTCTAATAATGTATTTCCAGCGGCCTGTATTGTACATATGCGCTATACTGAAATTGTTCGAGCTGTGGCGCATGGTTCTTGAAGCTCCTTTTCACGCTCGCTGCGCGGGCGAGCAATTATTAGAAGCCAAGGGGTGCCCTTGTCCCTGTTGGTGTGCTGTGCAGTAACATTACTTGTGTGGCTTGTAATAATCGCTCTAGTCGGTGTTCCCCATGATTGTAACAAATCACTGTCAACACCATGCTTTTCTGCTATTTTAAACTACAGGATATCTTATTGAATTAGATGCAAAAGTATCACACCGTATAAGGGCTTGCTGTAAGCCTATTGCGTTTTGTTGTTGTAAAGCTAAAATGATAGAGGTGTTTAGGGGTTCGGCGCATCACGCGCCGCGAATTACGCGCACGGACACAGTAGGAGTGCATCGACAGACCGCATCGTCAGCGCCGCATCCGCTGCCTCTTATTCGACGACCACTCCTCCACACCTGCTCTCTTGCGCTTGCGGTGGTCATACATTTAGCTGTCACCCTCATCTAGTTAATGACTCTATTAACTGAACACTGTATTTCTAGGCTCGTAGAGGCACGATTGCCTTGTGTTCTGCGTATGCAATACCTTCAGTCTCCCCGTATGTTGAGTAGTTGCCAAGACGCTTTCAATGGGCTGAAAGAAAAGCGGGGCGGATGATTTTCGGTAATGATCGTTAGACAATGGGGGTCGCGCACTCGGTGGCGTGCACACGATAGAGTCAAGGCTGCTCTGAAGCCTGGGCGGGCGGGTCCCTTGGGTGCTGCAATACCGACGAGGTTCTTTGCTGCATCGCTCAAGGGGGATTTGGAGGAAGAAACAGTCCGTAGCTCGACGAGGCAGCCCAATACATGTTTGCGAATAGGTAATTAGGTGCAGCGCGTTGGAGACTAGAAGTGGGGTCATTGTAGTGCAGCACCAACCTTGGACGGTACGTGCTTTGCGCCGAGATTGTTCCTTGCTGGCTATATAGCACGAAGCGAGCAGCGTGACAGCTTGCAGACTGGTCGCACCTTTCCGTCATGCAGGAGGATTAATTGAGACTCATTTCTGCAGCCGTGCAGGAAGCCATTCCCCCAGTGATGATCAGCCCCGTCGTTCAAGTGGGGAGCGACACGTCCCACGTGATGCCCCCTATCTTGCTTAGAATGTTTCTCAAGTCATTTCTACTGCTGAAACAGAAGGAAATTACGTTGAACTTGATCTTTGGAGATGTTGTCTACGCGATATGAAGTATGGTGACAAGCTCAACGACGACTTTGTTTTAATCATTCCTCCTGGACGAGCTGCAGCTGGGGTTAGTAGTTATTCTCAACTAGGCTGGTAAGTTGGGTCTCTACATCGGGTAGCTAAAACCGCGATATCTCCGCGTATACTTACCTAATCTGAACGGTTTATAGCTTGTTTTGTAGCTCTAAGATAGACGTATAACTTTGCTATAGAAGGTTTTCTTATATCTCTTATATTATAGAAGCTATTTAGGTACCCATGTTGCCAAGAGCTGGGTCTCCACATAGAGCTCCGAACCTAAATAACTTCTGTAATATTAGAAATACAAGGAAGCTTTATGTAGTAAGATTATAGATCCACATTAGGGCAATAAAACAAGCTATAAACCGTTCAGATTAGGTAAGTATACGCGGAGATATCGCGGTTTTAGCTACCCGATGTAGAGACCCAACTTACCAGCCTATTCCCAACGGTACGTATCCTCGTCTATTCTGTCGTCGACGAAGAAAATGATCTTTCCTTCCCTTGACTGTACCATCTCATTGTGTCTAGGCACACGCACCTTTACTGATCCGATTTACAGGTCTGGGAACCATCGTTGGAAGTGTCAGGATTGGCATCTTGATGGATCGCTCCTATAAGCAGGCCGAGACGAATTAACGTACTCAGCACGATCCTCCAACCTATCTCGGCGAGTTAAGTTGCTCTTTTAGTTCTCTCATACGCTCTCTAGGTACCATCCTAAAAAAGATATTATCTGTGAGAACGAAAACATCGATGACACCTGCGCGCTGGATCATTCTAGCACAGTGCTTAAGATAAGGAATAGTGTAGCCTGTACACGAATCAAAGCTAATCAACAGGATAGGATGATGACTCGATCGCTAAGTGTAGCCATAAAGTTGCAGCTTAGGATTATAGAGGATGTTTGACGGCTCTGTGTAGCAGCAGGCGGCATGGCGCAGTTGAGCCTAATCATTCGCCGGTGTTGCGCGGCGAGAACAACGACTGCATGTGGCATCGACGAACTCTAAGCTGGCACGGAAGATGGAGACGCTCGGATGGAGCTCATGCGGTGTTCACGGCTGCGAATTGGGCTACAGCCTTGCAGAGAGTGAAGACGGTCACAAAGCCCGGCAAACTGGAAGGAACCCCACACTTGAGCCGAATGTGGAGATTTTCGCTCTGTGGAGAGCCCCTCGCAGCAGCGGCTAAGCCATAAGCCTTGGCTTTCCAACTCGTATCCACCACACCTCGCACTTTTTCGCTCTATAAGGAGTCGCGGCAGCGGTCAATGCAAATGCCAAAACGACCAAGCGATACACAGTAAACCATCGCTTTTCACTTCGTATCCACCTGGTCTGCAAATACTGCACACCTCGCCCTTTTTCGCTCATTAAGAAAATGGGGCAGAGTTTCCGAATGCAGAGGGCGCCAGTCCCCAACAGGCTTAAGCGCGCTAATCTGATTGGCTCCGTCAGTCAGGACGCAGCCCTGCACCACTACGCCATGCAACCAAAAAGGTACGTATGATCAGTGAACTACTGATCATGGTGCAGGATAGTATATATCGACAGCCAGGGCCTGACACCGTCTTTCTAGGTGGCTAAAACAGTTTAGCTGCTAACAATTTAGTAGTACTCTTACTTTTCTACCTTTTAGATATTAGATAAAATTATTAGAATACCTATACTCTATTATACATCAAGTTAGAGCTTCTATTACTTATCTAGGCATATACTTAGTATAACGCTAGTTTCTTTACCTCATGTTCAGAGCTCGCGTGCCTCGACTTCCAACACCACAACACAACAAAAGTTACTAATCATACTGCTTCAATCCTGCAACCCTCAGTGAGTGCTTTGACTGTCGTAAAGAGCGGGTGATCCGAATCTGGAATGCTTACAACTCCCTGCAATCCCGCAACTACAAACAGAACATGCCATATTTTGGGGTTGTGATCGGTGCCCTAAACTTGCACCCCGCGGCAACAACATCTCCAACGAGATAATCACTGGATGCACTTAGGTACCTAGGTACGCTCAATGCCAGCCAAATTGTCGGCGAGCAACAGCACGATCAGGGTACGCCGGGCATGCGATGGCTGCCGGGTCCGCAAGGTCAAGTGCGACGCCGCTCAGCCCTGCTCCCAGTGCGCCCATTTCAACCTATGCTGCGTTACTTCCATGATGACCGGGAAGCGCAAAAATCCCTTGCGCGGAAGATTGGTGGCCAAGGCCCGTGGCGAGTCTCTCATCAACGATACGTCTCGTAAAGAGAGCGTCGGCGTCCGCGGCAGCAAGACGCAAATGTCGGCGTCCATTTCGGAGTCGTTCAGCGACAGCGGTGGCAGCAGCAGCAGCAGCAGCGTGACAGAGCCGATAAGCCTGTCGCTGTTATCTTCCTTCGCCTCGGCCACCAAGTACAAGCCTGATTTCTTCTTCGCGCTCCTCCCACAGTTCGAAGAGCTCGTCTACCCCTTCAGCCCCGCCATGTCGGCCAAGGACATTGTGGCCTCCGTCTCAGCCATGTACGATAATTTTGAGAACGCGGCGCTGGTCTACGCCTATGCAGCCGCCACGACCTTTCTCAGCCAGACCTCCGACACTTTGCACGGCGACGTGGCCATGCAGCTGAACGAGCTCGTCCAGTACAGTCTCGAGGCCCACAAGCGCGCCGAGATTACTCTCGACGACCAGGGCCGCCTGGACGAGAAGCCCGCCCCGACCAACAAGCGCATCATGACGTGCATCTACCTCGAGATTGCCATGATGGCCTTCAAGCGCTTTGACCGCAGCTTCAGCATCCTCCGCGAAGCCATCACCATGCTCCAGGTCCGTCAGGTCATGATGCGCGACAGGCCTGCCCCGCCTGCCGACTTCTTGGCGTACCAGAGGCTGTATAGGGAAGCTTGGATTCATGAGCGCTTCCTGACCATTACCTCGGGCTACCCTAGCGTCCTGGCCCCGCTGGTACCAGCCCGGCCAGCCGCCGACCCAAATACTCCGATGCACATCGAGGCCGGCTTCAACAGGCTGATTCACCTTTTCTCCATTCTTGACGACACGTTCCTCGCCTCGTGGCACGGCCACGACAATACCATTACGGCTGGCTGGATTGAAGCCAAGCAGGTCCAGCTCGATCAGGACGAGATTGACGCCGCAGAGGCCGAGCGCGACCTCTGGAATCGCGGCCACACAGGGCTTTCGGAGCGTCAGCATGCAGATCTCTTTATTACGCGGCTGTGGTTGCGCACTTCGCTCTGGCAGCTCGCCCTATCCAATGGGTTTTTGCGGTTCGCCCCTTCGCGCGATACTCACGAAGGCCTCTCCCTGCTGTTCCCCGTGCAGAGACTCACGACGCAGCTGCACAGTCTGGTCAGCCGTCTTGACAGCATTGCAAGTATAAGTTCGCAGGGAAGCGGCATCTTACAGAAGCTGTTCGAGGTCACCAGCACCATTGCCGACGTTCTTGCTCTTTACCCCGCTCGCAACCAAGAGGATGGCGGGTGGGTGAGAGGCGGAGCAGCAACGACAGAAGGAGGCGGAAGCGGATCAGGCTTGGATTCTCATATCGAGGATTTCGGATACGTCGCAAGGTTTTTGTTGTCCTTTGAGGGCGTTCGTGAGACGCAAAAAGTCTATCTGCGGGAAAAGCTCGAGATGCTGCATCAGTCGCATGTCGTGGTGGGCTTTATCGATTGGCCGCCATTCGCACCATCGACGTAGTGATGGCCGCGGGCGTTTGTTTGTCTACGATTGTTCTTTCGCAACTGCTTGCATTGGAGACGAAAAGGGTTTTGAGGCAATGGAAGCCATGAAAGTCCTATCCAAAACCAGGCTCAGGACCTTGATATCCGGATTGAAAAATCATGATACGAAGCTTCTCACTAGCTTTTACCAGGCATGACGCGCCAGTTTCAATGAGTGGCCTGGATGACGGGTATCTACGTCCAACGTTTGACCATTCACATCTATTTACGCTTTACATGTCATGAAAGATCGGTCGATTCAGCTCGATGAATCACCATCTGTGTTCTTCAATACTCGCCTCATACACATGGTGCTTTTCTATATACAGTATCTGGTGCTCCCTTTCTAGACTGGACGTCCACAGCGTCTGTTCTGTTGCAGACTTGGTGTCCACAATTTTGGACTACGGGAATCAGAGGACCGACACAGACTTTTGGGCACCCACAGCGTAATCCCACAGCCGAATCGACTCGAATGCAGTAGGTGCGGTGACGCCCTCGGCGAAGCAGCGAATGGCCCTGCAGGTGGTGTCAACGTAGACGGTTGTGGCAAGGGTGAAGCGGTCATTGGCAAAGACTTCAAGCGTGTCACCGTCGCGGAAGATGCGGAGGCGTAGCTTTTCTAGTTGTTCAATTGGAGAGGCCGAGGTGGAGGGCTGCTCGTGGTAAAAGAGTGTAAATGACCCATGCAAGATATCCTTCGCGATATCTTCCTCCAGGTTGGACTGGGTCTTGTCGACAACGATTTGCTCCCTTTCTGCGTCGAAAAATATGTCTGTTCCTTGGAAGCTATCATGAGCGCCATCTCTACTTGGCTGGCAAATTGAGAAGCCAATTCGCCCGTGGCTGGAGTCAACATTGATGACGGCCTCCAACTCCCAGCTCGTTGAAGGTGTTTCGTCTAGTAACCTGCTTCCTGCTGCTGCGGCGCCGTGGTCGCTGGAGATATCTTCCCACACCATGGGTGCTGTCTGAGCCAACGAGCGGACTCCAGAAAATGGCCGAACGCCCAGCGTCTGCAGGGCATGTGTGTGCCTAATATGGCCTTGCGAGGACGGCCTCTTGTCGATAAGTTTCATCGACCGAACATCCTCGAGAGACGACCTTAATGCCTTAGTGACATTGCTGGGCGTTGTGTACAGAAACAACTCCCGCGGGATAGCCAGGTGGCCCGTCCAGCCTTTGGCATGGCGCCGGGCCGACGTTAGCTCCTCCTCCTTGATCCATCCCATGAGGATCCGCTTACGGGTGACGGGATGAACAAACGAGCTTGGTGCATACAGGGCGCCGTGGTCTAAGATACCGCCAAAATCATGTATCATTTTAGGGGTGGTGATGGAACCGCGTTCTGCTGGTACAGCACTCAAAGTGCCGGCCATCCAAAGGCCCACGGTTTGATGGGCGTCTTGGTAACCAGGCTTGAATCCTTCTGCGCCCATAAGGAGAAAGTTTCGCTTATGGTTGGTACCGTCCTCGGCGGCCAAGGTCATAAAATTGACACACTCCCAGTTCACACCAAATTCACCAGTCCACGGCCCTGGCACGCGTAACCCGTCGGCCATGTCGACGAGGAGACCGAGATATTCCCACGCGGTCAGGTCGTCTGGAGAGACTGCATATAAAAAAACAGTCGGCCCTTTACCCAAGATGCCGCCGGAAAGAATGCCGTAAAGACTTCTCTTTGCGTCGCCGCCTGCAACAGCGCGAACCTCATCCATGGCAGGCCACTCCGCCAAAAATGGATCCCGAAATCCTGTAACATTGATCCCCTCGGGTTCACCTCTGAGAATGGGGTTTAGCCCGCTCTTCTCCCACGACAAGCCCCCGTCCTTGGACGTGGCCAGAGCCAAACCCTCGCTGTCACGGATGTAAGGCAGGGACCAATGGATGGGCAAGTTGGTGATCGATGAATAAAAGACAGATAGCTGTTGGGGCTCTCCGTATGGGCCTGTTGGCCAGAGGCATCCTGTGAAGACTCCCTCCTTATCGTAAAGCTGGTCGGGCTGCAGAGACGGATTTGTGCCGGGGCTCTGTACCCAGCGGAGACCGTCTTTGCTGGTGGCGTGGCCCCAGGCAATGTTTCCCCAGTCGCACGATTTAGGATTCCCTGTACAAGGTCAGGGGAGCTCACGTGAGACAAGTCAGGTTTGCTCATAGCATCAACGGCCGGATGCAATTCCACATTAAAGTTCTGGTCGATGTCATAGTTGTTAACTTACATTGGTAATAGACGTGATATGTGCCTGTGGCGGCATCGTAGCTGGGCGCGCATGGGTCGTTAATCCACCCGTAGGGCGCCTTGAGGTGATAGCTCGGAAGGGGGTGCCATTGCTGCTGCCGGGATTGGTGTGTAGAGGGCCCCGAGGAGGCGGATTGGGATTGATTTGACATGTGCGTCTCTTGTGCTTGTTCAACTGCGGCAGAACAAGTGCGTAAGCTGGGAGATAACGACAATCGTCTAAGGATGGACTCGGAGAACAGTCGTAAAAGAATGACATGAAAGTGTCTTCATAAATAGGAAAAGGAAAAGGTTGACTATTGGGGCTGGTAGGTAAAGACAATTTTAAGCATACCTAGGTATCAAACCTAACTTGTACGGGGGGCAAGCCTGGTAGTCCGTCATGCCAGACCCAACATAAATGCGATGCGCAATCTACACTGCGCTTAAATATGGATATGCGGAGTTGTAATATCGACTAGATGCCAAAAGCAGTTACAAAATCATCTGCGCGACCAGATCGTTAGGCCAAAGTGGGAACAATGATTAGCGTAGGAGGAAATTCTAGGACGCCACTGTCGGCCCGACGAGCAAGGTTTTTGCCCCACTTTTGTGCAGTTATCCCGGCGAAGATAGAAGAGGGGGAATTAGTAAGGGTAAAAGAGCACCATACAGCGATGATATGTTAGTTTAATAACTTTAGTTCCCATTTTTTTACACTAGAAGAGAAAAAAGACACTTAGGCTAAGGCAAAGAAAGCTAGCTAGAATAGGGGAGCTAGGCGAATGAAAATAGCAAGGCAGATGATCGAAGCAAGGTTAGTTATTGCCTGATTACACAGTCACTTGTCGGTCCGACAATCCAGTTCTCCGTTACCCAGCTTGGTAACATAGCGGTTCCTCTTTTCTTGGTCTAGGTCCTTGGCCGTTCGTTGACGCCTAACGGTGTTGTTGTTGTGTCCAGAAGCTGTATTTCATACTCAATACTAGCCTGCTCGGTAGATGCGTAGATACTCCGGGTCTGTAAGTTGACGCTGACTTCCATGCTGTGTGTTTGAGTACACAACAAAGGATGAACCTCTCGCTAGTCTCTCATATGTTGTAGTAAGAGACCTTTCATCTGCAGAGATGGCCGCTTGAGCTTCAATCTGATGACTGGTATACGGTATATAAGGCCGTTTCACAAATTCCTAGAATATCTGCCCCTCTAGCCCCTGCATTCATCTCCTCAAACCACGCCTTGTGGCATGGGTCGCTTATGGAGACATGCCCACTGACTCCATGATCCAGGCTGAAGTCTTCCTAGAATTCGGCACGCCGTCCTGCACACATACTGTAGATGAACACCACTAGCGTGACGCTCCCACAGTGGCTCTACATAGGATCAAACCATACTACTAGCATTCCATAGCGCTGTCCGCTGATTGCCACCGATCATGCGCCAAGGATTGTCGGACCGACAATCTCACTCCACCCTAGTCTGAGACGAAAGCATTCGGCATAGGCGCTGAATTAGATTGGTCGACGCAGAAAGCTTAGACGTATGCTTTCATCTCGAATTGGAAAGGCTGCCTCAGCACCATTATGTCACTGCTTTGATTTTCTCCGCCGCCTGATCCTCCACAAGTGTTTCCCCTCGGCTGGAACCTGGGGATGAGCTCACCAGCCGGAATCTGGCAAGTAACGAGAGGTCCCTTCCCTTCTACCTACAATTATAAAAACCCTGGAGCTCCTTGTTTCTTCATTTAAACCTGGAACCTGTGACACCTGGTCGTCTTTCCACTCGTCCATCGCATTTTCTTTTCTTCGAACAAGGCTTTTGCCTTCTCTTCTTCCACTTACTTTCGCTTTGCCACCCTTGCGTATATCTACATAGCAGCTCACCCTCAACATCAACGTCTCCTCGGCAAATTCCACACTCTGGCATAAGACTACCGGCACACCATGGCCTCGGAAAAGATGGATGCAGACGACGTTGAAAACGTCCATAACGTCGATTACAACGAGAATTCTAAGAGCCAGTCTCAACAAAATGCGGACGCCCGGGATGCCACCGCCCGAGAGCACAACCTCACCCTAAGTGATGCCATCCGCCTATACTCCAAAGGCATTGGTTTCTCCCTGCTATTCTCTACGGCCATCATCATGGAGGGTTACGACCTTGCCTTGATGGGTGCCTTCTACGGTTATGATGCGTAAGCTTCGCCCCTTCCCCCCCTTCTCTTCTATATTCAAACAAAGCTAACCTTCATGGGTCATTAGCTTCCAAGAAAGGTTTGGTAACGAACCAGACTTGAAGGGCGGCAAGGTTATTTCGGCTGACTGGCAGACCTACATCCAAGTGGGCGGCATGTGCGGCCAAATCGTTGGCCTCTACCTCAACGGTTGGGTCTCGGACGCTATCGGTTACAAGCGAACCATGATCTTGTCGCAGCTGCTCATGGTTGCCTTCATATTCCTCCTTTTTTTTGCACGAAACATCGAGACCATCCTCGCAGGCCAGATCATGCTCGGCGTCCCCTGGGGCGTCTTCCAGACCCTGACCATAGCGTATGCCTCAGACATCGCGCCCATCGTTCTCCGCCCGTATCTGACGGCCTACGTCAATCTGTGCTGGGTCATTGGCCAGCTCATCTCGGCCGGCGTTCTGCGCGGTTTCCTCAGCATGCAAGGTGACTGGTCATATAGGATCCCTATGGCTCTGCAGTGGGCGTGGCCCCCGTTTATCATATTCGGCACCTTGTTCGCACCAGAATCACCTTGGTGGCTTGTTCGCAAGGACCGTCTCGCCGACGCCAAACGCGCCGTGCTGAGTCTGGTCTCTTCTGCCGTCGTCAACGCCGACAACGGCATCGACTTTGATGCCGATGACCAGGTCGCCATGATGAAGGCCACCAACGAGTTCGAAATCAATCACTCGGCAGGCACAAACTACTGGCACTGCTTCATGCGGGCAGACCTACGCCGCACCGAACTCGCATCCATTAGCTACACCGCCCAAGCAATGTGCGGCAGCGTTCTTATGGGGTATTCTGTCCAGTTTTATGAGCGAGCGGGGCTCTCTACCAACAACTCATTTACCTTTAACGTTATTCAATACGCCGTTGGCGCCGTCGGTGTGATCCTATCCTGGTTCTGGCTGAGCAAGTTTGGCCGTCGCACAATCTACCTCTGTGGTATGACTAGCTTGTGCGTGATCCTCCTCGTTGTTGGCGGCCTCGGCTTCGCTGACCCCAGCAACCCGGGTCCTAGCTGGGCTGTTGGGAGCCTTCTGATCTTTTACACCTTCATGTACGACATGGCCATGGGCCCCATCTGCTATACTCTTGTCGCCGATATTCCCTCGACCCGCCTCAAGGCAAAGACAATAGTCCTAGCCCGCAACTTCAACAACATGGCCAGTCTGGTCAACAATGCACTCATGCCTCGCATGCTCGGCGTAAACGCCTGGAACTGGGGTGCAAAAACCGGTCTCTACTGGGCCGGCTGGTGTCTCATCATCCTCGTCTGGGCTTATTTCCGCCTGCCCGAGACAAAGGATCGGACCTACGGCGAGCTAGATCTTCTCTTTGAGCAGGGCGTCAGCGCGCGTAAGTTTGCACAGACAAGCGTTAACCAATTTTCAGACTCGCATAATAGTATAGGAAAGAAAGAGTCTAGTAACTAATATACTTGTATATAACGTACCTAACGGGCAAGCAGCGCACATAAGTGAGCGGCGCACTTTTGCTAAGACTGTATTCTATAATACCCTTCTTTAGCCTGTATCAGCCCACTCTGGCCCTATATAGGGTAGAACAACCTGTAGTATTACTTAGAGACTATTTATATAACGTGGTTCACCATCGAGCGCCCCACCCCATCGAGCGCCCCAGTTTCCCCACCAAAACACCAGCGCAGCAACAACGCGTAATGTCTCAACATCACGAAGTCCCTAGACTCTATAATGAAGCTGATGTACAGCTTGCTATCTCTGATATCCAATGTAACCAAGTAAAAAGCCTGCGACACGCTGAGGCAATCTACAACGTTCCCCGAAGGACAATACAGCGGCGACGCAACGCAACACACTCTCGCCGCGAGTGCGAGCCGAATCGGAAGAGTCTCACAAAACTAGAAGAAGAGGCGATCGTACAGCGTATACTTGACGAGTCTTTACGTGGCATACCGCCCTCGAAGGCACACGTACGAGATATGGCTGACAGACTGCTGCGAGAGCGTGGCGGGAAGCCTACAGGCAAGAACTGGGTGGATAGGTTTATCGCGCGTACACCTGAGCTACGCACGCGATGGAGCCGTCCGTACGATCACCAGCGAGCTGTCTGCAAGGATCTAGCGGTTATTAAGCCCTGGTTCACGCTTGTTTAATCGATGAAGGCGAAGTATAGTATTATAGACAAGGATACCTAAAATTTTAATAAGTCTGGCGTTATAATAGGCAAGATATCTGTAAGCATAGGGTGGTAATAGTATAAGGTCACATGAATAAGTGTATTCTTCTGTGTATGTACAAATGTGTGATCTGAGCTCTTAAGTAGTCGGACGCATTAGTCATGCCTGCAGAGCAGTCATGTGATGTGGTCCTAGGCTTACACAAATCAAGCCAGTGCTCCAGGGCTCCAAGTATTGATTAGCTATCCGCATATAGATACTACATAGTTTAGCATAAAGTTATAGCATTTTGTACCTAGGAGGGAGGCTAGAGTTTGTAAAGGGTTACACTTAAGGAGCAAGTGTTAAGGTCCGCAGGAGTGGATTTGACAGGGGGTCAAATTCCAGAGAAGGCGAAGCTACCAGGTAGCTAAGCGAGACCTAACGGCTTCGAATTGACCAGTAGATAGAGAATACATTAGGGGCCTTATAAGTTGGGCTTCAACCCATGACGAAAAATTTCGATTTCATTAGTGTGCCTCTTTAAACTGGCTAGTTTTAAACCTGTATAGATGTTCACCAACACTAATGTCGGCTTATGTAACCTCAGAGTTCGTTCTAAGACTTGTAGTGTGAGCGTGTGAAGGTACCAAGGCCCGCAGAAGGAGAACAAAGCTGTGACTGTAGCTAGATCGAGATTTGCGCCTCTACTTAATGATATCTTTATCCACGGGCCCCAGCAGGTTATGGAGTATATAAATAGGTAACGATACACGAAGGATATAAAGCGACGAAGTTGCCGTGACATCTGGACCAAATTCATAATTGCTCTGACGGCCACATCTCGACTGCGTTAAATACCAATCACAGGCCTCTACCTTATTTGTTGCTCTTGTTAGACCAATTAAATCCGACCAGAATGGCTCCCAAACGAGGTGACGGCGGTGGTAACAGCGGAAGTGGCAGCAGTGGCATTAGCCCATCCTGCCCGCACGCGTTCCAGGACTTTAGTTACAACACTGACCCAACGCTAGTTGTAGACTTCGTCCGATACTACGTCGTCTTCGCCCTTACACTCGTTGTCCTAATCAGCCTGTGCTGCATCATGAGGAGACATGGAGGTGTGAAGAGGCTCGCGGGACCTATTTATCTATTAGCATTGCTCTGTACGCTCACGTACGTTTCTAAAGCCTTGGTTGAACCAGGAGAACTCAAGCTAACACACTCCAGTGACTATGCACTCCTCATCATTAGCACCATGCTGAAGGAGTGCGAGACAACCGACTCTCTTAGTTACTTCGATTAGGCCATTGCATACACCATCTTTGCCCAGACATGCCAACAAGCAAGTTTTTTGATTGACTTGATTGATTCTTGATCAAAAGCTCAATCAAGTCAAGATCAATTCGCCCATAGCGTTTTTCTAATCAAGAACAAATTAAAGCCCTCTTTTTAATTGAATTGATTAATCAGATTAATTAGGTACTAATACTAGGGCAATTTCCAAGGTAGTTAATAAGGTTGCTAGGCAGTAGATAATATTAATAGGGTGACATATTAGTGGTGTTAAGTTTTAATTAGTAAGCAACCTTCTAATCTAACTAGCTTACTCTGCGACGTGGTATCAACATTTAACATCAACCTATATCTTATATTAGCGCCTATTGTTGTTATCTCTAAGGCTCCTTACGCGCTATTACTATCTGTTATGCCTCTAAAGGCCTTTAAACGCGCTGCTAATCGCGCTGCTGCGTTAAATAAACGCGTTAAAGTCAACGACAACTCTTAATCGCAGTCTAAGCTGCCTGTACAAACCTTACTACGCAAAGCTCTTAAGGTTGCAGCTAGTTAAGCTAAAGAGAAGGCTCCGTTCGAATCGCAGCTGCGCGACCTGCTGCCTAACAACGCGATTGATCTGCTAACTAAGGGCTTACGAGCTGCTACAGAGGCTTTAACTAAGGCGTCTAATAGCTACGATAGAGGCGAGCTTAATAGTTAGTTTAAGGATAAATACAATAGCCTTAATTAGGCTTATATATCGCGCTTTATAAAGCTGCTGAGGACGCTTAAGGGCAGGAAAAGCTGGGTCTTTAAGCACGGTTATCGCGTCGCCTTAATAGCTAATCCGCAGAGGACTTTCTAGATCTGCAGGCATTGCTATAAACATTAGAAATTAGAGGGGAAGCAGATAATAGAGGTAACGCTATTAACAACTGCTGCGATAACTTACATAGCACAGAATAGAGTTAGCTACCGCCTTAACTGTTAGGGCTAGCTTGCTAAGGCTGCGCTACCTCGAGGTTAGACGTCCCTGCGATTATTAAGCGATAGCGGTGTTGTTGTATCGCAGGAGGTCGCTAATAAGATTAGAAACTTTAATGTACAAGGCTTTCGATACGCTGCTGTTAGCTAGTTAGTTAATAACAACTACGCTCTCCGTAAGTTTAAGACTCTAGCTTTCCGTAAGATAATAGCATACGCTAATCTAGAGGCAGCAGAAGCTTTATAGGTAAGTCGTACTAGCGTCGCGAGCTTTGTTATAAGGCTTTATCGCTACCTAGAGCCGCAGGTTGTTAACAACTTGTCGCAATCTATAAGTCAAATCTATATTAGCTTTGACGGGTAGACGACAAGGGGTAGCAAACGAGGGTTCTTTAGTATTGTTGCTTATTACGCTAACGCCTGTAGTAACGTTAGGGACCTGCCTATTGCCTTACCGTAGCTTACAGGCGCTTATAGTAGTGATAGGATTGCTAATATAGTTGCGAAGACGCTGTAGTAGTTTTGTTACGGCGCTGACCTAGATAGCCTATTAGAGCGCGCCAAGCTGCTAAGCGAGCAGCTGCGCGATCGCTGAAATTCCTGCGCGAACGCGCCCTGTCGTACGCTCCTTGAGCTACGTCCTTGTCTTAGCCTGACCCCGTACTATCAGCGATATCGTAGTGAATATACTGATCACGTGCACCTACCTTCCCTGCCTGCCGACCCCGTGACATTACGTAGCTCCTATCTATAGGTGCCCGTCCCCGCGAGGCCCGCTATGGATCGCCCTGAACCTCCCGCAACCCCAGACTCAGCCGAAGCCCTTGTGGCTGAGGTGCAGAGAGACCCCAATGCCTGGCTGCTGTACCTGCGCAATAACCACCAGTACCTGCAGAGCCTCGAGGGCTCCCTAAGCGACGCGCGCACCACTGAGCAAGAGCTCCAGACCTCTGTTATCGAGCGCGATGGAATTATCCGCTACCAGAAGGAGCAACTCGCCGCCGACCAGAAGCAGATTACCCAGCTCGAGATCGAGAAATCTCACCTCGCTGCCGCCGCAAGCCCCGCTGTACAGACCCCCCGCGCCTCTACCCTATCCCCTCGAGCTACCACTGAAGCTCGTGCAGATAACCCAGCGAGACCGCCTACGCCTGTTACTGCCCCACATTCCGGAACCGCCAGCCTCAGCGAGAAAATACCTGACCCAAAGGAATTTGATGGAACTCAAGACGACCTTCGGCGCTTCGTCCAGCAGATCTATGGTAAGATGACTGCTAACGCCGACCGCTTCCCTCTAGCTACAAATCGGATGACCTACGTCGCTGGACGCCTAACTGGAAGAGCCTATCAGCTTATGCTACCTAAGATCCGATACGGAATCCCCCAGTTCGTGGACTACCCGCAGATGCTCGAATACCTAGAACAAGCGTTTGGGGACCCAGACCGTACCCAGAACGCTCAGAACAAGCTTTTCAACCTAAAGCAGAAGAACCTTGATTTCAGCACCTACTTCGCGGAATTCCAGCGCCTAGCACTAGAAGGAGAAATGTCAGAGAGCACCCTAACGCCCCTGCTATTCCAAGGGATATCTCGCGAGCTGCAGGATATGCTCCTGCACAATCCACCGCCCTCGCAGGAGTTCTCCGTGTATGCTAGCCACCTCCAGAAACTTGACAACCGCTACCGTCAGCACTAACAGCAAGTCTCCCGTAACCGCACCCCTATAGCTAGGGCGTTCCCGAGCAGCTACGCCGCAGCCGCTAAGCCTACCGTCTACTCAAACGTAACCGCCAAACGACCCAGCTCTCCCCGCTCCGGCCCACCAAGTCCAGCTCCGATGTACGAACCTATGGACCTCTCTTCTCAGAAGACGTTCGCACCAGGCAGCCGGAGGGAGAGAGGCGAATGTTTCCGCTGCGGATCAAAATCCCACCGAGTCGCCCAGTGCCCTGAGCCTGACACCCGCCAGTCCGCGGGAACGATTACTAACCAGCACCAACGCTACCCCAGTCCGCCAGCCGCCTACCAGGCTCTCCGCTCTGCGTCCCCGCAGCCTTACCGCCCCGCTAGCCCCCCTAGGTCTCCACTACTCCGCCGTGCCGCCAGCCCGCCCTCTAAGACGAACTACTCGTTAAATGGAGTGAGCCTGAACTAAGTCGCGTGCAGGCTCCTGAACGGCGCATCAAGAAACTACTTCCCTTAGTCCAATTATCCGCCGCGTCTATTAAGGGACTCTCGGTGCACGAGGAAAGTGACCAGAGGTCTAACATGATTATCCTGCCTATCACGCTAGAGATAGGGAAGAAGGCGATACTAACGTACGCCATGACTGATTCTGGAGCAGAGGGTAAAGGATTTATAGACCGAAGCTGGGCTGATAGCCACGGGCTACCTCTAAGGAAGCGAAAGAACCCCTTTGGCATTGTTACGTTTGAGGGCGACATGTCTGTTAAGGGGATAGTAACGCACTATATAGAAACCACCATGCGGGTAGAGGACCACCTAGAGACGATCCGGCTGAACGTGACGCAGCTAGCGCACTACCTAGTAATCCTAGGAATGCCCTAGCTAAAGCAACATGACCCGAAGATTGGCTTCGCTAGCCACACGTTGACGTTTGAGAGCGAGTACTGCCAGAAACACTGCAACACGCCTGGAAGGCCAAACAAGATCCACGCTCTGCACGAGCTCCCGCCAAAATCCCGCCCGATTGACCTGCCCGACCGCCCAAAGCTGCTGAGGAATCGAGATATCGCGAAGGTATCGCTGAACGCTTGCGCTGCGTACGCCCGAAGAAACTACCGTATGTTTACGATCACGATCGAACAGATAGATCGCTATCTGTCCCAGCCTGACACGCCTGAGTTACTAGACCCTAAGTCCCTACTGCCAGAGGAGATAAGGGACTTCTAGGACGTCTTCTCGCCCAAAGAAGCGGAGAAGCTCCCTCCACACCGCTCACACGACTATAACATCCGCTTACTTGATAGCAAGACGCCGCCCTTCGGGCCGCTGTACCCTATGTCCCGAGAAGAACTTAAAGCCTTAAAGGAATGGCTAGAGGAGAACCTGCGGAAGGGCTTTATCCGGCCAAGCTCTTCGCCTGCCGCCTCGCCTGTACTGTTTGTTAAGAAGCCAGATAGAGGCCTCCGGTTCTGTGTCGATTACCAAGGACTAAACAACATCTCAGTAAAGGACCGCTACCCGCTGCCGCTCGTAAAGGAGAGCTTAAATAACTTAAAGGGAATAAAGTACTTCTCCAAGGTTGATATCATCGCTGCCTTCAACAACGTACGTATAAAGGAAGGCCAGGAGTATTTGACTGCGTTCCGAACGCGATTCGGCCTGTATGAGAGTCTGGTGATGCCGTTTGGCCTATCTAGAGCACCAGCTACCTTTCAGAGGTTCATCAACAATACCTTGAGGGAATACTTGGACGTTTTCTGCACTGCCTACCTAGACGACATTCTGATCTACAGCCGAACTAGAGGAGAACACGAAAAACACCTGCGCCTGGTACTAACCGCGCTGCGAAAAGCCGGACTGTACGCAAAGATCCAGAAGTGCGAATTCTTTAAGGAAGAGACTACCTTCCTAGGCGTTATTGTTAGACGCGAAGGGATTCGCATGGACCCACAGAAGGTCGAGACAATACAGGAATGGAAAACCCCGTCCTGCCTGACTGACGTACAAGCGTTTATCGGATTTAGTAACTTCTACCGTCGGTTTATACAAGACTTCTCGAAGATTATCGCCCCGCTAGTCGCTCTTACAAGAAAGGGTATTAAGTTTGTCTGGAATAGTGACTGCCAGAAGGCCTTCGACCGTCTGAAAACCGCATTTACAGAAGCCCCGATCCTGGCCCCGTTCGACTAGGAAAGGGAGATTATCCTAGAGACGGACGCATCCGACTATGTATCCGCTGGAGTGCTATCTCAGTACGGAGACGATGGGATACTTCGACCCGTAGCGTTCTTCTCTAAGAAACACTCAACGACTGAGTGTAATTATGAGATATACGATAAAGAACTGCTCGCGATCGTA